CTATACAAAAGGTTTACTCAGATAACGATATAAATTATAATACCGCCACTTTAAATGATAGATTTGCGTTATCTGCCGATTTTATCGCGCCTACTTATTGCCAACATAGCTCTAATCAAGATTATGAGAAACTTACACCAGAAGACCAGCAACATTCGTATCATACACTTTAAATTCCGAACCCGCTTAAATATAAGAGCCCGAAACAAGAACTTAGAAAACAAAAAAGCAAATAGATTAGACTCTGTCATAAAATATGTGAAACGCATTGTATGTAAGACCTAAAAATATTTCGAATATGTGTAGACATACATAGTTCTAAGTAGCTAGTATCTATATGTATATATATATATTCATACATATATATATATGTATATATATATATGTGTAGGTGCACGCATACATTGTAAGTTATTTAATACATATTTACATGCATAACTCGATAAATCTGTAATCCATTTGCAAGCGTTTTTGTCTTGTTTATATTTAAAGTTAATAATTCAATTATGTACATTTAAATGCAGAACTATCTTTATTATTATACGATTGTGCATATTATCAAATATTATTGTAGATATCAAATTTTTTATGTAATGTATTTATCTACGACTACGATTATACTAGCAGAAATAGAACTCATTTCGAGCCCATACGGATGAATTGTGTACATTAGTGCGGATATTTAAGAAGAAGAAAAGTGCATGCGAGAAAAACTGTTTTAAGTACATACTATGTTGTAAGCATTGTTAAGTATGTATGTGTATGTATGTGTGTATGTGCGTGTGTGCGCGTGTGTGTGTGTGTGTGCGTGATTTTGATGGAGTTTCAATTCTTGCGTGCATGTAAGTGTCTTAAGATCCATTGGTATTAGAGTATACTAAAATTTAGCCATTTTCAGTTCGATGTGCATAGGTATTTATAATTATGTTGCTGGTCGAAAATAATTATTTGAATGCATTTTTGTTGTCTTCCTTTATTGCATACAGAAATTGCACTCTCATATTTATGTATGTATGCTATTGTACATATGTATGTATATTTGTTATTCTGTTGGCGTAGGATATACGAAATTTTCTATATCTGTTCAAATTGGGTAGAGGGTTTCCCGTATGTTTCCGTGGTTGATTTCTGTTATAAGGCCTCATATTTAAGCTTGATTTAATCCAATTGTTGCGCTTTGTAACATTGCATATATGTACATGCAGCCGTATACTTACATACACACATAAACGATATGCATGGATAGGTATATAGGTATTTATATATTGAACCATATAGACAGCCATGACATACATACATAGATACATTTTTGAGCGAGTCTGACAATAGATTTTCCCTAAGATAACCATAGCAACAGATAAAGAAGCAGCCTGGTGAAAAATGTAAAACGCATGTAGAACACATTTACATATATAAACACTAGTGACATTCCAAATCAAAACCAGTAAGCGTTTAGATAGTTAAATCTGTGAATATGTAGATGTTGAACGAGGGAATATTGAAGAGCGCACAAATATTGTAATTTAAATAAAAAATGAATCCATAATTTAAGTTAAAATTAAAACCGCTGAGCATTAATGCGAATTTACGCAATATATAAAGTATCAAGCGTATGAAAGCAAACACCAACTAAAGGATTGACTTTAAATAGTACATACGATACATATTTATATAGTTTGTATTTAGGCTAGTTGAATACTACTTTTACATTATCAAACACAATATTCGATACTTACATCAATCTTTTAAACTCAACGCAGCTAAGTACATGTCAAATGTGCATATATACATACATACTGATGTAAATATATTATCTACGCACATGAATGTATACATGACATATACAATCGTGTTTAACAAGTCTTAAGAGTCAAAGCTAAGTGAACCCAAATTTACTAAAAACAAAATGTTATGTTAGAAAAGTAATAAATGGCATATAATGTGTGCCTTTAATATTCAACTACTATTGAAACACAACACACCTCCCAAAGTTATTATTTATTGCTAATTTTTTCTTTATAAGTTGAATATGTATAACGTCGATTTGTGATTTAATATTCACACCATAGTATCTACAATGTATGTTTGTATGTATGTACATGGGCATCCGAATTCACAGTTCGCTCGCTAACGGCTTTATAATAACATTAGTACAATTAAATCAACCTGCGAATATTTGCAGTCACCTAATTGCCAAAAAAAAAAAACAAAAATAAGAAAAAATAAAGAAATAAAAATATAAAATCGACCTATTAAGTACAAAATTAATAACTATAAAAGAAATTGTAAAAAATTTGAAATTTGTTTTGTCCCTGGACCTTTTTTCTTATGTTTTAAGCAATTTACTATTGGCCTAGTTTGTAAACTTTTTTTTAGCCGCTTATTTGCCAGCTGTGAACTCTTTTATAAGTGTATGAGAGACGCCTATTGTTGGGATAATCTTCTCATAAGCAAGGCTTTGTCAATCCAGATCTCAATAGAAATTTCTTAAGTATGTAAGAGTCGCTTTTAAGGTCTCCGATTCATTCATCTTGTAGTTGGTTGCCCACCATAAGAGCAACGTCCATGCCCCTTCTTGTCATGCGAAAAACCAATTAGTACTTAAATAACTTAACATGCATATTTGACATCCTTGTGTTCGGTTTGTTCTTCCAAGTTCCAGTACATATAGAATAGTCAATCTAATTGTATACATTATACAGAATATGAATTTTCCAATTCGTTTTTATATCCTGTACCCATTGAAAATGAATATATAGTTTTGTGCAAGTGTATGTAATAGGTAGGGGGTAGCTTCTTCACCGAATTCCTTATCAGGAAGGCGATGTCAGTCCATCTAGGCGTTTGGTATATTAAAATAAGTATTCATATTTACTTTGATTTTTTTTTGGGTGAGAGAACCATTTCATTGATTTATCCATGTTCGTTTGTTTTTGAGTCTATCCCTTTGTATAAATCCATTTCGAAGAATATTATCGTATATTTAATGCAGAGCGAGTTAATCTGTTTATTTTGTATCTCCCCCCAATTCCATATCTCGGAAAATCTAGAGAGATTACAAATTTTGTATGTCCTTGTGTAGTATACACAGATTAAGAATATATCCCTTTCACTCAAAAATTGTGCCTCGTGTGGAGCTTTTGGAAGAAAAAGAAACACAAACGCTGCATAAAGCATGCAGCCTACAGCGTATATGCTTGTATGTGCTTGTGTGTGAGTGTAAGTGCTTATGTGTGAGTGTAAGTGTTTGTGTGTGAGTGTATCTATGTTTGATGTTTGTGGGTAATAAAGGATATTCGGACGTATATTTCGGTAGCTCGACGGTGGGTACAGGGATACTTTCGACTAGAGCACTCTTGTTTTCAAGTGTTGTTGCTCATCTGATGGGTTCGATGTATTAAGATGTTATGAAGCGGTTATTTTTATTATAATTGCAAATTTGGGTGGTTTATTAACAGTCTGGATTGGAAGTCACATGAGAAATCTAATTCTTATCAGCTCTTAATTTTTTACAAGCAAAGTGCAACCAAATGAAAGCAAAAATAAGCTAAATAAGAGAGATATTATGTAAAATGGTAAAAAAAAAAAAATGCATTATAATACATATACCTACATATATAAATTATCTTAACTGAGTACACTAAGTAATAATGCAGTTTAAATATTAAATATAATATTAAGAAAAGCTAGAGTAAATGATAACTGAAGTAAATTTAATAATTATTAATTATGAAAACGACTTGTAATTTATATACAAGATATACACAAACATATAACATAAATACCTGCCTTCAACAAATTTGTTAATAAAACCTATTAATACTTTCTTATTTTACACAAAGTAAAGGAATTACATAATAAAAAAAAAAACTAAACTAAATGAATGCCAGAAAATTACTAATTTTACGCAATAACGCAACATTTTCTCATTATGAGCCCCAATGTTGCGCTTCATTCCTCTTGTCTAAAGGTTTTGAGCAATCTAATTCTTACCTGTGTGGCCGTTCGTACGAGATCTATTTTGGAGTTCGTTTTGGAGCTACAGCAAGTAGCTGATATGATCTTAAGAATATCAAACAAGTTGTTGTCACAAAGCCCAATTCCACTTATTATCAGCTGCGGTTGCACCTACAAATTGTATCTAACTGGAACCGACGCATTAGGCATTACATTTTATTTGTTTAAGTGAGTTATAAGTGGGCCTTATCCTTCATGAGGCAATTTCTAACATTCACCACACATCATTTTGATTTCTTTTTTAGCGTCTCGACATTCTATTGTCAATATAACACTTCTATCATCTCTATTGAATTGTGACTGACTTGCCGTAATCACGCCCTTCGAATCATTTTACCTCCATCTTCTTTCCTGTTGCCAGCATGAAATATCTAGGCTAACCATTTGTCCTTACGGTAAGCCGTGTAGCGCTCCCATATTGAGCGTAATAAACTATTTTTATTTCTTATACGTTCCGTGAAATCGATAAGAAATCAATGATTTTTTATGCCTTTGAACTTTTGTAATTCTCAAGAGCAAAGATTGTAATGTAGGTAAGAAAATCCTATGATGATCGGATGCAAAAGAAAAAATCAAATAGCTTATAATGGAATTCTAAATATTTTTTCATATTAGTTTAAAAATCACTTTTAAGCCCGTTAAATATAAATTTTTCTAAATTTTTTTTAATATCTTGCCTAAATATCTTTTTTATTCATTACCTCGTGCTTTGCGTGACTATTTTACAATCGTTTATTAAAATGTGAGAAGACCTTGGTTCTATTACTATTTAACCCCGTAAATTACATATTTCTAAATCAAATACTACGTGTCATTATGACGAGGCCCACGCACATTTTAGTAAGCCATTTGCATCCCAGCAAGTCTCATCAGCTGTGAGGCTTGTTACGAAGTATTTGGAATATGGTAGCTTTGGCTTAGAATCTTCATAACAATATAAAAACCAGCTGACTAACTGTCATGCGCGGTAGGAAGTAAGAGTATTGATTTTGTATAAGCGCATTCAGTATTACACTAAGAAACCATCGAGATTCACTTTATTGTGGGACAAGAATTTGACAAGAACATATCAATATCAAAGTGAAAAACGTCAATGTTCAAATGGACGAAGTGGTTAGCTAGCATTTTAAGTCATATTGTCAAAAGGTCAATGCATTGACGATGTCTGATGTAGTCGAAAATCTTATATGTACATGCAAATATCTAGTCGTAATTAAAAAAGACTGCAAGTTCATTGATAAGCGCACTTAATAAGCTAAAAAAATAAATATTTACTCGGCAGAAAGTTTCTGCAACTTAATAAACAGACGTAAAATACGATAGTCCCAGTATGGAGATACCCTTTTCTAATGTGTTGTTGCTCTGTTTAATATTCCTGCTAATCGGCGGAGTAATTATGATATTGCTTCAGTATTTGCTTTTTATAAAATTTTCAAATTTACCTGATGAGAGCGAGGAACAAAAAAAGATGAATGCCAGATACACCTTACCCCTGGTAAGTTGATTCTGAATCGTGTTTCCATAATGTATGTATGTATTTATGCGGAAATAAGAGCTAAACAATGTTTCCCTTTTAGAACATCAAACAAACCGCCCGTAATCTGAACACGGCACAAAACGAAGGTGGAAACTTCGAGATACATCAGAAAAGCGATCAGGGCTCGTCGACGTTAATATCATTGAATTTTGTTATGCAGTTCTTGTTCCATGAGTTTAAAAACTCGAATCGTGTGCGAAAATGGTTTTATCGAAAGCTTTCCATTGAACTGGATGAACTGATTACAAAAACCACAACAGGCAAATTGTTGGACAAGCTAACGGTGCAGTCAATAAGCTTATGTCATTAAACAATATGGAATTCTAATGAAATTCTTTTGTAGATTAGGGAACTTGAGCTGGGAGATCAGTTTCCAAACATCAGATCGCTTTCGGTGCATAACGTCCAACTTGACGACGCAGAACAGCGCATTGAGAACTTAGACTTGTTACTGGATATTAACTATATCGGAAACTTCTCGACATCGATTGATGCGGATATGGTACTGGGCAAAAAGGGTTCCATAATGCTAAAAGGTAATTGTATACAAGCAGCAGTTACTGAGTCTCTGTATGTAAATTTGATAAATTTGATTTTCTATATTAGTAACACAACTGTCTGGCATGGCACGTCTACAGTTTACTCGGAGGCCATACACTCACTGGTCCCTCAGCTTTTTAGGTGACCCGGAACTTAACTTAGTTATCGAGTCAAAATACCAAGGTCGCCAAATGCAATCTAACATAACGAATCTTATATCAAATCAAATACGCAAAGCAGTACGCCGCAAACATACCCTACCCAACTATAAGCTGCGTTACAAACCCTTCTTCCATTGGGCGGCGGAGGAAGAGACAAGTGACTGTGACATACAGCCCAATGGCGATCTAACCGTACGTGTGGCAGAGTTGTCACGGCTGATGGCCTGGCCGGGCACCAGCAGCATATACTGTACTATAACGCTGGCGCCAGTGCCTTTCATTGAGGCACATCAGAAAGATAACCGACACGTGTTAATCTCCATGGATGTGGTTATACACAAGGCCAAGAATCAACAGATAGGTATTGTGTTTAAGCAAAGTAGCAGTCAGGTGGTGAAGATCGAGTCTATTCTGCCGAACACGCCAGCCTGCAAGGCTAATCTTTTGTCTGGTGATGCACTTGTTTCTATTGAGGGCAAACAGGTAACAACTATTCAACAAATTGCGAAGGTTGTGAAGAACCTACAGTCCACAGTCTGCTACCTGCGCATCGAGCGTATCATTCCCGGAATCATACGTAACTATGCCATTCTGGAGGATCTAGAGAAATATGACGATTTGTGCGACATTCCTGTAGCTCTTAAACATGACGCTGACGACCCCGAGATGATTCCCAAGCATTTACAAGTGAAGGCTGGTCGCAACACTGAGTCTAGTCTGGGTGCTACTCTAACGAACTCCCCAAAAAAATCAAACATAATTGCAAAAGCCATCAAGAAGACCATCAGTCGAGAAAGCGGTGACAGTCAAAAGGACAAAGACAAATCCAAATTAGACGACACTCCTTCAAAAATGCCCTGCCCGAATGATGATAAGGTATCTAGTGTGAGCGACAAGTCACTCGATGAAGTCAACTATTTCTATCAACACTCGACTATCGATTGCACCTTCAGCCCTCTTATACGCATGGATGATATGTGCAATTTTCAGCTGGATGCTAAGAGTCGCTTTCTAAACGTATGTGTGTTTGGGAAGTGCGCAGGTGAGAGCATACTGTTGGGGTATTACAACTTACAGGTCGGTCAGATATTAGTCGAATGCAGCGAGACCAGCCTGAATCAGTCCCTAAAGCAGATAGCTTTAAATCCGCCAACTCTTTTGCCAGTGTAAGTACCAGAAATGTCACAAATTCTCAATGGATTTTATAATTTCTTATCATTTTGGTTGGATCCACAGTAAAGCACATCCGTTGTCCACTCAATCTGGGTTCAATCCCAACCTGTGCTTCGGAGATATTTTGTTTGGATTTTTATGGAATGGAAATCCAAATGCTACTGCGAGTGAGAGCACAGTCAAGAGTACTACCAAGTCCCAATCTCCAGCCAGGTATATTTTTGTTAATTGTACATAAGGTGCATTACATAATATATATTTTGTACATATTTTAGCCAATCAGCTGCAAACGATAAAGTTCAGAATGAAAACAGCGGAGAGACTGTGTCATTGAAATCTTCAAACATTTGTGGCGATTGTTCCGTTCCTGGTGTGGCTAGTACAATGGCTGCATCGAAGTCCCATAACTTTATACGAACTCATTTTCATCGTGCAACGCAGTGTGATTTTTGTGGCAAGAAAATCTGGCTAAAGGATGCAATGCAGTGTAAGGACTGTACCATGTGCTGCCACAAAAAGTGTATTGCCAAGTGCCAGAGCGCCACCGTTTGTGGTCCAGTCGACTACTCTGGGTCGATACCAAACACACTCTTTGCCCCTCCAGTAACAGTGAACAAGCCAGAGTTTACAATTACACAGGCCGAATATATTGATATTTCGGAGCCCAAACCTTTAAGCTCTATGACAACGGAGGAGACTTCGTCGCAAGGCAGCATTGAGCAAACGCACAATCCTAATATGGACGTGCATAGAGCTAGTTTAACGGGTATGCTGACACAGGGAATAAAGCGACAAGCCAGCAATCTGGACATACCAGGCATAGTCTCCTCACTTTCAGGAAACAGCTCACAGGCTAACTCAAAAAGTCTACCGCCGAGTCCGCAGCATACGCCGTCGCGGTAAGTTTGCTTGCAGAGGCTATCCGAGCTGAAATTAAATACACGCCTACTCGATTTAGAAAGTCGTCGATAACAGAAGAAACCTCGCAACATCATCATTCAAATCCAAATCCCTTTGCAATGATCACGCCCCATTTAGAGGCTCTTCCCTCGGAGTTTACAGCATTAACTTTGGAGCAAGTTGCTCTCATCACTGAACCAATCATTAAACATTCCCGAAACGAGGATCTGATGAGCCTGGCTAAGAGTTACAGTAAGCTTCTCTATGCGGAAGTCCCCCCCGACGAGCGAGTGACCAAAATAAATGAACTGGTCAGTCTTTTTTTAATTCAATTCAGTCTCATTTGTAGTAAAATGCAAATATTTCTAATGAAGCTAACAAAACTGAAGGGTGCACTAGATGCGGAATCGAAGGGCAGCACGATGCTAAATTATACTGAAAAGGCGACCACACACCGAATGGAATCAGAGTCGCCATGGAAATCAATGGCCTGCACAAAAACTAGGTCCGAGGAACGAGTTCAAGCCTTGAGTATTATCATGTTGTATTTATGCACAGGACTACAACATGCCCAGGGCTCCGCAATGCAATAGAGAGTTTTTAAATATAAAGTTTGTTACGTATTTGACTGTAAATGTGTTAGTGAATCTATGGGCATTTTTAATTTGTGAATGCCATAACTTATTATTAAGACACTTTTTCCGGCAAAACTATGAATTTGTATGTTAAAAAATTTGTCAAATTAATACAATTTCCATATACGATATATCAATATACATAATACTTTTACACTAGCATTTTTCGACGCAACTATTTTCGCGTTTGCTATTTTTTGCTAGGCCAGTAACATTTTCTGTCCTACCCATTCCATTCCAATTAACAAATTAACAATATAAATGGGTCAAATGGCTCCCGTCCCTCCGCCAAATGCATTCTGGTTATGCACCAACACAAGTGACATATGATGAGATTATTTTATTTTATTTTTAAAACCAAGCATTTTATATCGTTTGTATTTTTTATCATTGCCCGTAGCTGATTACCGATTTTAAGAAGATTAAATGCATACAACATATGTATCATGGTAAGTGCCCGAACTACGAAGATGTTATACCAACATTTTGACAAAACAAACAAAAAGCAATTCAGCTTTGATCACAGCTAAGGGGATATCGACAGATAACAGTATATATGTACATACATACTTGCTATAAAAGCCGCTCCACAGTCTATTTCTCACATTCATCGGAATACGAGTCACCCCAAATATACCTTGTAAAAAAGAAAGAGTGCTCCAGTCGGGAGTGCCCGACAAGGGGATACCCTTATACTTCATCCATCCATACCAGATGGCGCTCGCGCTGCGCTCTCAGTGGCACCTTACGCGTTTTTACTTAATCATATTTTATGAATAAAGCATTAATTAATAAAAATAAATTTGAAAAAATATACATACGTATTTTATTGCCTGTGTTGAACTCGTTAGCACTTGCAAGCTGCCGAATTGCCTTTTATTGCCTCGTAATTTTCAGCCATACTAAGAATTGGATTTAAACGGAAAAAAAATAACTAAATAAACAGCAAATATTTACAACACAATCGCAATTACAATTCTGTTTTTGGATTTCAAGGCTACGCATAGGAATTTATATGTTTGTCAATGTTTTCTTTAATAACTTCTGCATAAACCGATCTTGTTATGCCATAGAATATTCCATTAGAATATTGAAAACGAGGCAGGCTATTGATGATCGGAAACAAATACGAGAAAAACCTTTAAAAATGTCAAGCTTCTGAGATAAACTCATTTTTAGATAAACAAACATGGTTAGCTGCCTTAGGAACGATCGTTCGAAAAGTAGTTTCTGTTATGGAAACCGGGCATATACTATGCGAACAATGTTGCTTATGTGCGACTATATATGTTCTCAAGGCTATTGCATCTTTTGATAGTCTTTCATTATTATTATTTTTTTTTTTTTGGAATGTTTTTATTTTTTCATCCGGTATCGCATATGTAACCAAGAAAGTTTGTTAAGAGCAGATTATTTTGATACGATATTGTGAGAATGATGATAAACAGACATAGCAAGATCGACGTAGCTCGTCATTCTGAACTAGAACATATATAATTTATGGGGTCAGAGATAATGTGTTCTGCCTGTTACATATACAAAAACCATGCAATGCATGCTACCTTCTTTTAACAATTTTAAAATAGGTTTCGCGAGTAAAACTCTCAGAAAAGTAACTTTCTAAGTACCAATGCGCAAAAACTTGATTTTTTTTAAACGAATACACAGTCATAAACATACATTTATATGCGCACTTATAATCAGTATATAGCAAGTGTGCGGAAAATTTTTACAATAGTTCCGTTAACCGAACATCGCAATTTATCAGATGCGTCAAAGTTCGGATCTATAAGAACGTATGCACACACACTTAGATATGCATATATGTATGTATATCGAGTATATTTTGAGCGTATACGCATCAAATTCGCACTGAAATTTTCGCTCTCTCTCTGTGTGTTGAACTTTTACACTTTTCCGTTGTCAGAACAGAGCAGACCAAGAGAAAGACTGTTTATAACGGAGGCTATTGCTCTTACGATGACAAGACGATTTCGTAGTATGCAATAACACCCTTTCCGTGAAAAAGTCCTAATGATATGGCAGTATTTATGGAACTGATCAGCTAAATACAATTCGAAAACATTCAAAATTTAAGATTCCTGCATTTATTGAAAATCAAAATCTTTATACTATGCCTATTGCATGTCAGGGCAACATTGGAATCTCGACTGTTAATGTCAACAACAATTTTAAGGACGCCTTTTCATACATTCATGCATTTATATATCTTCGACTATATAATGCTTCATAATGGGGATGACTGGATGTCCGTTTCAATCTGACTTGTGTCATTATATATCCGTAACGATTTTTGACACTCAGGCTATGAGGTGTCGATAGTAGTATGTATATTATTGGGAAGAGTATTTGAGATACTTCTTGCCGGGAGTAATCCCAATTTCTGGTTCATTATTTGTTGCTTTTCATGCCATTTTATTTTTCATTTGTTTTGTTATGCGCAGTTTTTCTTTATTCTTCCGTGCTATAAAAACCGAAAGTAAAAAGCATTTTCAATATTTCAATGCGCAAGAGAGTGACGTTCAGTTGGTTATTGAAAAGTTCGCGTTTTAATTCAAAAATTTTTAAAATCGTTTTCAATTTATTCTATTGAGTGCATAAAATAACATCATTTATTCGCTGTTATCTATAAATTTTTTTTTTTTTTTTTGGTGTTGGAGCTAACGTGAAATAAATTGAAATTATCTTCAATTTTTGAACTCCTGTGTTGCGCCAATAGTAGACCGTAAAAATACAACGATCACAATAAAGCAAACAATTAGCAAACATGCGTCCTTTCGGCAATGATATTACAAACATCTCCAACAACAGTGGAGGGGGAAACGGTGAGGATCGTTCAAATGGCAATGGCAACAATGACAGCGGGGAATCGGACTCCTCCAGCAATGAAGTAGCATTGGACACAGAAGTAGATCCCCGTATACCTCCACATATAGCCAGAATTGGCGGCATAGTTACATTCTCGCCAATTGCCGGACGTGGAGTTATACGAGTGGTGCAACGCTGTGAAGACGCTAAGGAGAATCACATGCTAGGTAAGATATATGAGCGTAGTCTTGAAAAGACCATTGTGTCATCTGTAAAGAAAATACAAGGTGGCGCGGAATAGGGATGATGCAAGTTACGCTTTTAATGCGTGACACGCACCTTAATTCGGAAACAAGCACGCAGCGTTGGGTAAAGCAACAGGAAAGGCGCAACTTGTCTTATCAAATGGATAGGAAAAAACATATGTTTAGGTGGAGATGTATGCAACAGCTAAGTGGATTGTATGAGCATATATTGGAGCTGATTAAAGCCTTTCGTTTCTTTATACAGAATTTTTGTTGTCATATTAAAGCTCGTGAAATTCCATAGGAAACTGTCGATAAACACCAATGTTATTCAAAAATGCATTTTCCATTGTATGGCAAAAACTGAGAAAAATGCACAGCCTCATTGTAAAGTGCGCAAAAAGCGTTTTGCCTGTGCGTATACGTGTGTGTTTGTGTTTATACGTCCATATGTATATACATGTATATGTATACTTGTTTTGTACTGACAACTCGGCGCTGTGTTCAGGATATCTCTTATTCGAGCATTATTTATTAACATGTTTTGATTATTTCATAATTTTTCTTGGAAAAAAGACAACGAGGTCTACAGCTTGTCATTGTCTATATATGTATGTATGCTTCGATAAAAATGTTCAATTTTAATAATACTACTCTCCACTAATTTAATTTAATTAGCCCATAATTTCGAATATGCAAATGCATTTAACAGGCAGACGGACTCATTACCTACCCCAAAAAGTATTGTTGATTCTTCTAGCGACCTTTTTACTGTTTAGCTGGAGGTATAGCTGACTCGAGATCTTTGAGATTTTAGGAATGTTTTTTTCTAGGCCTTCTCAGTGTTGTAAATTATTTACACGGTTGATTTGTTGTTGATTGATCGATTTTTTTGGGTCACAATTGCGACTATATTAATATGACTTAGTTTGGTTTAAATCATATACCCTCTTAAGTTGCTGTATCGTCACATCGCGTTTAGTAATGCGTTTTCGTGTCACGAAAGCAATCACGACATACACCCAACTCTAGCTGTTACACATTTATTATTTGTAAAAATGTATTTTCAAAACATAAACAAATTGGCCCACAGCCAATTTCAGTTATTGCGCACTGAGTTTTGTTTCAATAATAAGCTATATATGTACGTAGATATATAAAAACGTCTGTTTTCTCTTTAACGGTCGAGATTGCGTCAAATTCATTTGATTTCATTGCAACGCTTCTTAGTTACTCACAAATTTTCTTTTCAATGACTCAAATTTAAAATAGTTAAAAAAAGAAAGTTCAACTACATGCAACTACGACATGCAGAAGTTTCAGCACTCTTCGACATTTGGCTTTGAAAAATATTACATTTACTCCTCATTTTCATATATGTACATATATATTGAATATATTTATACATATACATGTGTGCATATATACCCCGTCTATTTACGGGGTATTCCTAAGTTTTTATTTGTAAATATATGAAACTGTTGTAAGTGACAGACTGACTAGACTGTTAGAGCTGGGGTTAAGGCGGGGTTCTGGAAATCAGCACCAGCCAGTGTGGAGAATACTTGTTGAAATATTATGTATATAATAGCCAAACGACCCCAAATTCTGATTATACACTGAATACAGAATGGATTTAATTAAAGTACATTCTTGTATGTAGGCAGAAGCTCAAGTGAGTACTAATGAAATTGATTGATATAATCAATTTTCTTGCTAATATATATTTTTTATGTTGACAAAAAAAAAGGTGCTTTTTCTGGCACTCGCGAACCACCTCTGGGTTTGATAGAAGGATCAGGGTATTTTCTAGTCGGGTACTTTTGACTTGAGCACTCTTGCTTCTACTCAAGCATTAATGTATGTATTTCCGACATGTATGAGCTGGAACATTTTATCTGTGTACAATAAAATATAACAACAAGCCAGAAATGAAAAAGTGCACGACAAGGAGATACCCTAAACACTTCCTACCAAAAACCAGAAGCAGCATACGCCTTAGCTTTACAATATTTGCTTTTTTTTATAAATAAATTATAGCAACAGTGCTCTAACCGGCACTGCCCGACTAAGAAATACCCTGGACCATCATCTACCAAGCTCGCTTGATCAAGCTATAGCAAGAAACCCAAAAACACGCTTCTACATATTAAATGGAAAAAAGGGATATAACTCGCATTATTAAAAGTCAAGTTTCCAAATAATATAATATAAATTACGATATTGGCTTTGATCGATTGAATGAAAACGAGACAAGTTTATCATTCGAAAGAAACTACAAACTTTAAAATGTTTAGTGTCTAGCTCTTATAGGTTCTAAGATCGACGCGTTCATACATACGGGCACACTTTATGTTTACACTTTTTGGGGTCGGAAATGCTTTCTTCTCGCCGTTACATACATTTTCACAAGCCACTATACCCTTGTTTTTTTTACCTATTTTTAATGCGTTCATCGTACTAAAGTGACAATGATGATGATCCATTCTTGTGTAGGTCATCGTTTTTGCTGAAGCTGCTTATGCCAAGAGCAGAAAAGAGCCAAACAAAAAAGAGCGTGTAGAAATCTAAAATTGTGTGCATTTTACCTGCGGTCTGATTATGTTGCCGCTTCTCTTTGCTGAACAGTGTACTCTTGCTCTGTTGCGCTCTTTCTCTCTCAGCCTAGGCGCTCGGCTAGTGTACATGGCAATATCAAACATTTAGTGTTGGGCCAGATAGAAGTGCGTTAGGTTCTGTATTTCTGTTTCTATTTATTGATGGCACATGTGTGCATACAAATACTCTATTTATTAGAGTTTTCTATATATACTCTCAATCACATTTTTATAAACAAACCCGCTGATAAACGACAGCGCATTGTGTGCGCATTTTAGGCATATGCTACGGAAATGGCGCACTTGGTGGTTAAAGTAATTGAGCGATGTGAAAATGCAGCCGAAACTTCTCATTTAGGTAAGGGTTTTGGTTCTCAGATATGTACAGACATATGTATGTACTTTCCCCACTATATATATATATATACGTATATATATGTATATATTATGTATACGTATGAAGCTACGCACATACATAAGTAAATATCACAATATAGACTTATTTATGTTTTTATGCATACGATTACATAAATAGATCTATATATAGTTGACTTGTTAACACATAAAAATGTTAATATATATTCATGTATTTGTGTATTTAACTTATCGGAAAAATTAATAAACGTATTTATGTTTGCATATACAGCTAACAAATGTGCTTAGGCTAAAGTGATCGACTAGGAGATACCCTGAACCTTGCGTGGAGTTTTCGTTAGCTGCCTAGCGACACACATATAAAAAAAAACACATATACAACACGGATTACCTTTGTAAACTATACATTCAAAATTTGTTTCAAATGTGTTCGAGCTATGCTTAAAACAGCAAGTCTCGAGATCCAATTTTAGCGATTTCATGTATTTGGGATCGCCAAAAACTGATAAGCTCGCATATATATTTCAAACTTCAAGTCCTGAGCATACCAATTAAAGTTTCCAAGATCGCCGTTTTTACACAAATGGACAAACGAATATTGATAAATCGACGCAGTTGGACAAGCTGATCAAGAATATGTACTCTTTATGGGGCTTACCTTTGCCTATATCTATTATAACCCATTTTCAATATATACAAGCTATAAAATACGAAATCTTGGGGTTTTCAGATCTATCGCAATGTGAATTGATGCAAATACCAGATGCAGTTTATCACCTGATGCGGAATACAATACTACAGACGTGCAACCTTAGCGGCAATGTGCTGAAGAAGCTGACGCCAAAATTTGCGCTGAAATTCAGCGCAATAACAGGTGATTGATTAGCCAGTGTCATTTGTATCGATCGGAAAAATATAACGAAATCGAAAATATAACTGCATTCCAGATCTCAATCTCTCATATAATCAATTGTCAAAACTGCCGGACGAATTGGCCAATCTGAGTGCTTTAACCACCTTAAATATCTCTCACAACTCGTTTATAACATTACCTCAAGTCGTCTTTAAGCTTCAGAAGCTTGCCACCTTGGATGCTCAACAGAATGCCATTTTGGGTAAGTACACTCGCCCGACCGTTGGTTGCATCAATACAGCAATTACCTAACCCGAATGGCACTTTCAGAGATTGATACTGATGAAGCAATTAGCAGTGACTCCCTGGCTTTAGTGGATCTGCGCAACAATCCACTGAGCAGAAACTGTCGTCGCAAACTACAAGATTACAAAACTAGCTTCCGCCTAGAGATTTCAAGTGATGTTGAAGACGATTGGTAGGGCTGGGTGTATTTAAATAATTTAATTGTTATCTTTAGAAAACACTTGCTGTAATGTTTTCAATGATTTGATTAATTCGGTTAATTAAAGTACATGTACATTAACAGCAACAATTCTATTTTAGCGAAACTGAAGCATTTCCAATGAGTGCAGCTTATGACGCACCTATACCTACTCATAGGATATAATTACACTATGCAACAAATTTAGACTTTTTGCAACCTTACTTATTTAGTAATTTACCAACTAATTAGGAATATATAAAATTATGTTGAATACCAATAACAGGCAAGAGGCATGTCCGGCCCCATCAATTTCTATGTACTCCTTACCCGGACTGCGAGCTGTTTCGATTTAGCCAAGTCCGTCTGTATGAACGAGAAAAGCTAGAGACATACAATTTGGAATATATACTCACCCATATTATATGCAAAAGGAGTTTATCATTTGTTGTCGAAATAACGATATAACTCGATTTTGAGGCTGGGTCTTATAAGCATAACTCAAAAACATTGAAACCACTCATTTTTATACCCTGAGCCCATTGAAAATGGGTAGAATGCTCTTATGGTCATATATGTAACCTAACCTACCCTGCATCAATAGCCTAGGACAGGAGATCCCCGTTTAGGGAATTTCCGTGTCGACTAGAACACTTACTTGTTTAAGCTATAAAGCCTTGTGATGGTATATACTCACTTGAATGCCATATCGAACAATAAAGTTTTCAATTTTTTTCAAAATTTAATCCTCTAGGATAAAACGTGCAGGAAATTAATGAACAAGGTGGTTTTTCAATTCCAACTATTGGTTCTTAGTTCGTTTTTATATATATGTATGGTAAATTTAACTTCAGATAGTACGAATAAATATGAAATATATTTAGATAGACAGACGAACATGACTAGATCTACTCGGCTATTGTAACTGATTCCCTACTGTTTCCCCGAAATGTAGGTCCTTTAGAGCTTCTACCCGCAAGTGTTGAAAAATTATGGACATCATTTAGATGAAACTTTTTTGTTTACTATTCAATCGGCCTCAAAGTCATTTTCAAAGATCTATTTGATAAAAAGGGTAAAAGGTTATAAGGGTGAAGTTTTAAGATTCGTTCTTCGACCTCTAACTTATTTTCAAAGCACTACATAAGAACTTCCTGAATAGATGTGTTAACAATTTTGAAAATTCCATCCGCAGCTGTGGAAAATGTGTCCAGACTCATTTTCACAAAGCATTGTGAAAATTTACTTGATACGTTTTTTGGAAAAATCCACCGCTCTTGGATGGAAAATGCGGGCTTATTGAAAGAATGTTTTTTTTTTGGCTATAAGATTCTCACCACAAGACTTTCATGGATGGAAAGGGTCGATTGTAACTTTAAGTTATTTATTTTTGTTTGATGGATTTTAAAATGTATCTATTAAAATTTGACTTTAGACTTTGAGTTCGAGATAATACGGGTAGATTTAAATTGTCTAGCGACGAGAAATAATTAAAAAATGTATATCTAAAATTTGAACCACAAAACCTTACACAAGCAAGGAGCATAAGTTTGTATGTAAATGCGTATGAAAAACTTAAATTGATGGTTACAACAATGACTCGAATTTCTTAAAATATCTAGAACTCGTTGAAAATGGATATAAATCGTATCAAAATTAATTCTATGGCACGCACAGAAATTTTGTTAATTTTATTAATATTGCTTGCTTAACACGATTCAATAGATACAGAAAATCGAAACTGTCAGCTTTTTTGTTCTAATACCCAAGTTTATACTGTGTGGTATGTTTTGCTGTTTTTAAGAGTGTAAGTCTGTGTCCCATTTCAGGGTCAGAGATATCTGCGTCTTCCACAAGTAGACACATAAATTGCTTTGGAAAATAGAAGAAATATTTGGTTAATAGGTTTTTCGAAGAAAAATAGTATGAGTCAAAACTGAATTGAGCAAAGTAAGTAATGTCGCATTTTAGTCATCACAGTCAGCAAGAAACAACAACCCTTTCCGATCTGAGCATCATTATCAATCGTAGTTGTGTGCATTGTATGTGTTCAACGATTAAGAAAAGTCAAGAGCGTGGCGCTCAGCAACTCTCAATTGCTTGCTCTTTTCGAGCCACTTTTCATAAACTTTTAACTTGGCTGAGAAACGGCAAGCGGCTTACCCAGCAAATGATGTGAGAGACAGAGCCAGAGACTGAGCCAGTGCCAACGCAAATAAAGCAGACATAACAATAACAGGTTTGGCAACAAGCCGAGAGAAACTTGTACAGATACCGAATCCGATGCTATGTCGAGATACCCCTCCATCAGAGCTCAGTCCGAGAGCTTGGAGTCTCGGTTAGTTGATCACGGGCAAGTCTGATGGAGACGAGAGGCGTAGGTCAGCTTAAGCTGGTTCTGACTATACAAATTCGTTGCGCACTGCTGGTCGCGCGGTCATGGGACGGGGGACGGTGGGATTAGAAACGGGAGCTGCACTGGTGAACAAGTCAAAAACCGCGTCAGTGAGTAGAGAGCGACTGAGAGTCAACGGAATGATTAATTCACAGACACCAGCACAGGTATACGTATACACATACAAACAAACGGCAATATGTATGTATTGCACAGATACGGGTACGTGGGCAAAGCTCGTCTGATGGTAAACCAACATGGCCAAAGGTGGGAGCCAGAGCCAAAGCAGAAGCGGGAGCGGAAGTGGCTGACGCTGTGGAGCAGCGCCAAACGCTTGGTAGTCGCTGTCAAATGGCAAACGGCCGCAACAGTCGCAAGCAGGTAACCTACTAGAGCGCGTTCGGGCACGGACAAATATTAGCCGCTTGCATAGAATTGACAACAAAAAAAAAAATATATAAAACAAATTTAAAAAAATCATTTTAACGAACGATCCACCGACCGCGCTAGTAAAACATCAAAGCGCGACGCGAAAAATATTCAACAAATTTAAAGCAACAAAACTATTGCTATACTCGTACAAGACCGAGTTCCCGCAATACCATTGCGAAACTCTGTTGTTTACGGCTTGATGTATACATTTGTATATACATATGTATATTCAACGTTCAGTATAGTACAGTAAAGACTAGGAAAAGTGAGCTACATATACGTTAGTAGCATACCCCAATTACTAATTACAAGCAAATGCATCTGCACATATGTACATTTATTGTATATTGTATATGTATTTTTTGAATATTACATATTTTTACCATTTCACCGTTGATTAATGTTGCAATGTTGCATGCAAAGGGGCTTTTAGCCTCGATTTGCAAGCTCTTTTTTGTTGTATTTTTTGTGTGTTTAAAAAATGTACATTATAACATGAATACATACAAATTAAACGGTATATGTACGTACCAAAGTGCTATGACATACTATTAATGGATTATTATTACTATGCATATATGTATGAACATATATTTGCTTGGTATGTCATAAGTCTCCACGAACTCTCTGGAAATTGGATCAAAATACATGATACATACATATATAATCACATCGAGTTACCTAAATGCAGACATATGCGTGTACATATCAGTTTGAAGCCAGAGAATTCAAAGACTGAGATCTCAATAAAATCTCTGTATTTCTTAGAGAGTGCAGAAGTTCATGACCACGAATACCTTCGAGACAGTGGTAGTAGACAAGGTTTTCCTACGCTTTTTTTAAGCGTAATCAGTTAATTGAATCTCGTGTTTGTTCCCAAGTGCTTCAGAGTACTTCATTTCAATATAACTACGATCAACTTAACTTCGTTCGCATCCGTACCTCAAGAATTTCCTCCACATATGCACATAGATACTTGGACATACACATATGTATATGATAATAAACACAAAAATACTCGCATACATATGTACATGCATGATGTGATGTGTGGGCAACATACGGTCGGAATATTGCTAATCCGTTGCCAAGGCTGCGGCTGTGGCTGGGCTTCTGGTTCTGGTTCTGGCTCCGCCTTTTGTTCTATCTCTGTCTGTGGGTCTTATATATGTACATAGATACGGATGTAGCAGGCGTTGGGCTCATGGGATGCTGGCTTGGATTAGACCACAATGTATGTATGTACATGAATATGTACTTGAGGCTGACATACTCGTAATTACACTAGCACAACTTTACCAGCGACATCATTTCATCAAGTTTTAAGCAGCTACTCTGTCTACCGCGTCACGTAATCATTAAGCCAGTACGAGAGGAGAGCCGAGCAAGCTGAGTATAGGAGCAGACGCAGAGAGAGAGAGAGAGAGAGAGAGAGAGAAAGAGAGAGAGAGAGCGAGAGAGACGCAATCTACGACAATTCAAAATACCAGTTTTACTCGAAATTGCCGTCATCTGAGCTTATTGTTGCGCCAAGTCTTTCAATAAGTGCGACATACGTACATACGAACATATTTTCATATATATTTATATATACATATGAACAAACAAGTATATAGATATGCAAGTACTAACATATGTATGTACATACATATGTATGTAACTATACATTCGAGCTTGTACGAGTTACAATACCACACAACGTACATTTACACACTGAAATCATGTACACTGTTTGTACATAAATATGCCTACATATATATGTATATATGCATGTATGTAAGTGCACGCATGTGTGTGTGTGTAAATTCTTCAAATGCGTATTCTTTTCAGTTTTGTGTGTGTGTGTTTCACACAAAATGTATTAGAAGTTTCCTAATACTATTGAATATTGTTGAATATTGTCTTAATTGAATATTTTGTTCCTGTTTCTTCAGACACTTTTATAAACGCATCTATACTTGGGTAGATTTTAAATATTTATGTACATACATACATATGTATATGTGTTCTAACCTGAGCCGCTCTGCCCTTTGCCATTTAAGCCATTTTATTGTCAATTATCAATTTTCGGCTAAAATTTCTTGGTCAACTGGCAGACTGTTGCTGTTTATACGTATATACATACGTACTTACGTACACATGTATATGGATACAGTTATTTTAACCTTCAAAATGTATTTAATTAGCATTATGACTAATTCAAATCTGCAAAAGGCAAATGATGCAAAAAAAAAAAACCTCGAACGTTGTGTGACATCCAGTTAAGAGCTAGCGATATATGTATGTATGTACATGTATATGTATTACTTGCACTTATGTAGATACTAGTACACAGATACTGATGCACTTGAATTCATTGGTTCTTTTAGTTAGGGAATTTGAAGAGCCAGAGCGAGCCTAGTTGGAGCCAGCACCAGGCAAATACATCAAGTTATGTAAAACCTTGCTCAGAAGGCTCTCCTACGAGCGTTTTCAGCTGTACCTGTTTAGGGTGCTTGTGTGTTTGTATTGGCCATTTGGCAAAAACTTGTTTGAACAACCAATGCTCAAGCCAAGTAGAATTTGAGCCACAAAGCAACTCGATTTGCTTTTAACATTTTTCTTGACGTCGTTTTCTTGAATTGCAGCTGCGCAGACTGCTCAAGGCGACTGTCTGACAAATATGGCGAAACTGTCGTAGGAGTTTTTATTTGACTTTAGTGGATAGAGCACATTGGCATGTGTAAGCGTAGCTGTATGTATGTATATGTACGAATGTGTCTACATACATACATCGATCTGATGGTCTGCAGTTGCGTGAAGCTTTCGTTGTTGCGTATGTCAGGCATACCTTATGCAATACACCCAAAAGCAGATTACATGCCTTTTTAGCAAATACATATGTTCATTTTAGCATCCAATAAAAACTACTTATTATTATTTAATATGACCATTCCACTTTATATTTCCAACTGCATCGTGTGGTCAGTCTCTATAAGATTTCTTAGTTACACAAACTCAATCTGAAATTGAATCATTTCGTTTTGTTCAACAAACCTAAATACACGGCCCTTTTGGCGTTTTGTCATTTCTAGTCCAATCTCCGTTTGTATCTCGAGCTACTTGAGGTTGAAGAAAGTCATGAATGCGATTAACAACAACTTCAGAATTTTGTTGCTTATTATTTACTGGCGATGAAAGAAGTCGATGAAAAATGTGTTGTTCTTATACCTATTGTTGTTGAATGGAGAGAAACTTTGAAGTTATATGTATGTGTGCGTGTGTTATTTTTGTTTCTTTTTTTTTTTTAACATTTTTGTCTGATTTGTGTGTGCGGCAACTACATATTTGGGGCGAAGGTCGTTGACAGAAGTCATTAGCGATGGCAACGAATGGTATGAATAACCGAAATAAGAATTCCATTGGCTGATCAAGCTGGCATTCACCTGGAGGCAAGCGTTATTCCCAAGTGATCCATATCCATTTAGCAGTCAGCGGCTGCATTGCTTTCGATAGCTAGTCAGCAATCACAATTAGATACAAGCCCTAGTCGTTCTAACCCCAATTTGGCAACTTGACGATAATTGATCGTAATGCAAGTTGCTCGAATGCAGCTGCGCCGATCTGCAACAAGAGATAACAAGAGTATCTAAGAGCAGCTGCAGCTGCAGCTGCACTCGAGTTTCCCCCAACTGGCAATTGCAGCTTTACGGGCCGCTACCTGTGGGCCGCAGCCCAAAGCTAGGTTTATCGCCAGAATATTGTGGGCTTTATTGTGTGCACACTTTTCCATTTCAGGCTGCTTATTTTGCTATTTCTTAACATTTTCTTTGTCGTGTTGCATTCTTCACAGATACGTTTGAGCAAAATGCAGTCAGACCCATCGCCGCTGTGGTCCAGCAGTTTGCGCTGCCTGCTTACCACCTCCATCCTGTTGCTGGTGTTCAGCGGTAAGACAGTGGCTCAATCCAATTACGTGCAACATGGCGATAGCGGCAACTACTCTACAAACGGACTGCCCGAGGAGGCGACCCTGGATGGCAAGGTAAGGAGTTAATTCTTAGCATTTGGGTACGAATGCAAAGCATATATTATTTTGGGAACGTGTAAATGTACATTTACATATGCATATTTATAAATAACTTTTTTTTTATAATATATATATGAATTACCCCTTTTCGGGATTTTTGCTTTCTGCTCACCGAGCCGGCAATAACTTTTAGCCTTCGTAATTCTCTGATACTGCATAATAATGTACAAATGCTGGAGGCTTCTTAATTCTTAGATTATGGGAGGGACAAAAGTCAATTAGATGCATCAAGAATATTAATTTCTTAAAAGAGACGCGTGGTGACTGGTGATGATTTTTAATTGAATTTCCTCCGATCTTCGGGTATCCAATTACAATCGACATTATTTGTTTTCACACTTTCGTTTGTGACTGTTTGATTCAATAATAACTATATTATGAAAGAATTGTCGAAACTGGCAGGCTCTGATATGCTGAGTACGCTAATATAAAGCAAATGTGTTAGTTGGACTTAACAAGTCTTCGAAACTGAAAGACTAGTTTGCTTAGAAATAGGGCCAATTCGAAGCGAAACAATGAAACAAGTTGGCACCAGAAACAATAACCCCATTACTTGAGCTGAGAGACTTGAATGCATATGAACGTGTATTGTTATTATCGAGGACACAGTCAAAGCCAGCCTCAACGGAAGCTTCAGTCATGTGATGCGATTCCACACTAGTAGCTTATATAATATGATAATCTGTGGAAGCTCTGTGGATTGTGTAAGGTTTGGATTGGTTGAACTTGTTGCCTTATTGCAAGCTTCCCACGCAATATGTAATAGGAAGACTGTTTATTTTTTCATTAAACTTTTTATTACTGCTTTCCAGGTAACCAAGTTGGACGATATAAGCCCCTTGATTTTTCTGAATCGCACCAAAGCAGCGCTCAACTGCGCCGCAGGTTCAATGCAAGTAAGTGGCATTTATGCCTGAAAAGATTCAAGCAAGACTCACCTTAAACCATTGCTGCTGCAGGTTGATCTCAAATTCAATGATCCATTCCATGGCATCATTCAGGCCGACTACGATCGCAGCAGCGCGTGCCGCGTTAGTGGCAAAGGCGCACTTAGCTATCGCCTGGAGCTCCCACTTAAGGGCTGTGGCACAATACAGGTAAGCATATCATTTCTCAAGTCCACGCAGTCCAACTCATAATTTCAGTGTGACTTTAACAGAATCCCACACGCGTGTTCACCAACAACATTATTGTGCGCTTCCATGCCAATTTGGAAATGGATGGCGATGAGATCATCACAATAGTTTGTCGGTATCCGCCGCCGGTGCCTTCACTGCCACCCGCATTGCCAGCACCCATGTAAGTAGTAGCAGCAGTGTTAAGTAGAAGATGGTTTCTCATTGGAAATAACATTTTTGTGTTTGCAGATTAAATCCTATTGCCACTGGAGCTGTACTCCAGCCGCCACTAAAGGGCATACAAATATTAATGATCATCTGTGCTATCATGTTCCTGACGCTTTTGCTGTTGGGCCTAGCCGTCTCCTACTACTGTCTGCGAAGCCGGCCCATACCAGTCGTACGGCGTTTACCTATGAGCATGGGTAGCGGATCGGAGATAACCAAGTTGAGCGGTAGCAGTGCTGGCAATATTAGCGCATTCGAGGGTGTGAAAATACCTCGCGCCCATGCCGCACTCCAAGCCGTCTATAGCTCCTCGGGCAGCGAAGGCGCCTTGATACCTTCGGACTATCCCAGTGAATCGCATTCAGAAATCGAGGAGATTGACACTCGTTCGTTACCGTTCAGTTCAGCGGGCAGTTTTGAAAATCGAGCATTTGTTCAAGAAACTTCAAGTATATATAGTGACCATTATAGCCCGACCCAAGAAATACCTGCAGCTAACGCAATCATGACTACCGTTTCCCGACAAACCAATTCTATACAAGAGGTGGCCGCTGGTTCACCGAAGTTCGATGTTCAGGTCCGGGTAAAGAAATCTCCACCGCCAATTCCATCACCCGTCACTTCCGACACGGAGAGCATGGCCACGCTGCGGACCGATCGTAACAATTTGTCCACCATTATGGAGGCATATGAAGATCGGGAAAGTGTCATGACCATGGACTCGTTGCCGCCCCAAGTAGAGACGATGCAGTCGCAATTTACTTATGTGCCGGAGCTGCATCCAGCACCGCAGCAGCCGCAGCCACAACCGCTACCCATGGTAGCCGAGCCTAAGTTCTCAGTGTACACACGCACGCATCATGAGGTCGTAGATGGTCGCCCAGAAACCTGGTCTGACTACACCGATGGGCCGGAGCCAAGCGAGATTACAGACCTAGCCTCTGAGGCACCTGAAAGACTAGTACATGACACAAGTCGTGCAGTGGAATCGATGCACTACTACGAGGACGAGTATGTACCAGCGGAGCCAGTGGTGCTATCCCCGGTGCTGCCTGTAACATCGCACACAGTGGACGACATCTATTTGCGTACGGTTACTGAGAAAAAAACCATCGAAGACATTGAAAGCCACAAGCGTCGTGTTACCGAGTACAAGAGTAAGCCGAAAGCGCCACTGCCACCTCCTCCTCCGCCGATTGTTGATCCCAAGTTCGACGTTAAGGTGCGCAATTATCCGAGCCAGCGCGAAGAGCAGCAATGGGAAAACTTTTCTGATATCTCTAGCGCCTCTGGTCTTACACTGACGCCCAAGATGGCGCGCACCGAGCTAAGTTTGCCGCCTGCTGAGCCACCGGCGCAAATTCACGATAACAAGCTTAAGTTGACCAGCCCCGAGCTAGTTGGAAACATGAAACCGATTGAGGTGCCACCACAGGACAAAGATGTGCCCAACTGGGATGTCCTCATACGCATACTAGAGGAGCCTGAGCTATCAGAAATTGGTGACGATGCTAGTTCCGTGCACAATATAAGCTATGATGATAGGGCCAAGTGGAAGGAAATTATCACCACGCAATCTTCATTGCGTACAATGCTCACAGAAGCTGTTGTGCGTGAAGACTTTGAACGTATCCGCCAGGACACGCGCTATGAACGCATGTTCGAGCCGCAGACTTGGGACGTCATCATACGCATCCTTGCACCGCCCAATGACGACGATACTGACGTGGAGACGCGCGGCCCCAAGCGTGGCAAGAAGGCGCCTCCGCAGCCCTGGGACACACGCTCGAGGCGCAGTTCCCTGCCCACGCTATACGAGTATGATAGCGACGGTGGATCCAGCGTGCGAACCATACGCAACGATCCAACATTACCGCTACATGGTGGCCCATTGGGTGTTGGTGCCGGGCCTGGTCCGTTCAATACGCAACGGTCACGACGAAGCTCGCGCACCTCATACCAAACGGACCACAACGACTTCCGATCAATGTCTGAGGTGACCGTTGATTTTGGCAGGCCACAGCCAGATAATCTGGATAATGTAAGCGATGCCAGCTCGTATTATCACATGCAGTACTACGATGACGAGGACAGGCGTTCCTTCCATCGGTCAATCAGCCATCCATCACTGGCTCGCTCCGCAAGTGAATTCACCGAGCACTGGACAGCACCCGATGAGCTAGAAGTCTCCTCGCCAGAGGGCACGCCCCGCGCCTATCGGGCACGTCAGGTGAGTACTGGAACCATAACGTCCCAAGCCCATATAATAATGCTCTGCCTATCAATTTGCAGCCATTAACGCTAGCTCAGCTCGAATCGGTTCAACCTGAGGAGCGCATCGTATCTCAGACGCAAAGCGAATACGTGGAGACGCATCAAAGCATCTTTCAATCTGAAAAGCAGTTGCCCCAGCCCCCGCGCAAATGGTAGGCGGCGCACTGTCTCCACCACAAGCCTTATTTTTTTTTTTTTTGTTTTTTTAATTATTCGGCCAAACACATAAGCGCAAAATACGTTTCGGGTGGGGTTATTAATACTTAGTTTTGACAGTAATACATACATAATTGCTTTTACAAATTAAGATCTTGAAGTAAACTCTTCAGCTGATTTAACTTTATCAACCACTCTGATAAATAACTGTAAAGCATATCATTAAATATAACTGAAATCTTACCGGGACATTATAGTCACAATTCAAAATTGTAAACCATTCCAATTAGTAAATTCTCTGAAGTGAATGCCCCATTTATAAATATTTATATACGAAATGACGCAATACTAACAAACGTGCCAATTACAATTGCCTGACAAAATGTCCACACAGTTTGCAATATTAACATAAATTTAAATGCAAATCTGATCAATTTTAGTTCATAAAGCAGAATCGACATTCATGTGGATGGGCACTTGTAAATTCTTTAACAACCCAAAACTTGGGGTCCTATTATTTTTTTTCTTTCAAACATATGTATATGTATATATGTATTTATGTATGTATGTATGTATGTATGTATGTATCTAATCTAACGATATAGCGTCTTAAGCTGATAGAGTAAATATGTAAGTGCCTTAAAATTACATATGTATATGTACCCCTACAAGGATATATGTACATATATATGTGTATGATTCTCTAATTTGCATTAAACACTATACTGCCCTTTAATATCTCAAAGAACATGTGAATGTTTTTTTTTTTTTTTTTTTTTGGTTATTAATTGGCCAATCGTATTAATACAGCAAGCTTTGTTAAGAAGTATCTTCAAGCGAACCACTCTATAAGACATTCCTACTGCCACACACAAGGAGATAAGCGAAATGAAAGATATATGAATGATAGGAGATATGAAGATCACATTAATTAACTAGTTGTGGAGAGCTTACAGGTTTTCAAGTATTAATAAAATAGCTAATAATACAAATGAATGGTTGGGTGAAGGTATTTTCAATACTAAAAGTATATCTAAATAGACTCCTAATCAAACATGCGACAGAATCAACAAATATGACTTCCACTATTTTCTGCTTTTGCGGACTTTAATATTGTTAGGTACCGCATCAAATATACACTATATATATATATATATATATATATATATATGTATGGATAGCATAATTATGTATTAAAAATATATACTTTTTTTGATGTTGAAAAGTTGCATATAGATAACTATACTAACTAATCCGTCCAAGTTAAATGCATATTTTAAAATATTATTTTTAATTAGTAACAAGATTTAACTACTTTCTTCGGGATACCGAAGATGCATACATATAACACTTCTACAGATCGATGATAACTGCAAAAGCTTATTTAGTGAGAATACATTTTTGTTCTATTCACTCTGCGGATCCAATTTCGGTAAATTGCATATGGTAAAGGTTGTAGGTAAAGAGTTTATCTAAGCTTGAGTTATCAGAACTTGGACTAGACCAGACTATGTACAACACATTATGCAACGGTTTATAAATTCAAAAATGATGTAAGAAGTTTCCTTATTATCTTACTGTTATATAATATAATCACAATCCATTTAATAAATCCTAATGAAACTTAGTTGATTAATATTTATCATAACAGAACTGTCTGTAATCAATGTAAGACAATGAAAATACAATGGAAAAAAAAATCTACTAACAAATCGCCCATTTGTTTTATTTAAGTGTGTGTATAATCAATGTAGGTATTTAAGTAATCACCATAAATCTGTTTGACAAAATTTATATCGAAGTGTGCCCTGACTGACTGTTTGATAATAAGTACACAAATCAAATCGTAAGAGCTAAGAAGTTAAGATGTTAACAGTTCCTATTCTTGATAATACAGCAAAATGGTTGAATATACTTTGTTTGGCATTGGATCGACCTTAAAAACTAATTTTCAATAGTATTTGCTGAAATTCAATCAAAATTCTAAAAAACTATTTTGAATGTCCACATGAAGTTGTGTCATCTATGCATATGTTGTATGGTTATTGGTAAAAGGCTATAATGGATGGGTGTAAATGCATGTAACAGGCAGAAGGAAGCGTCTGCGACCCCATAAAGTAAATATATTCTTGATCAGATCAGCATGTATGAACGCAAGGATATCAGAACCTTTAAGAGCTAGAGACTTGAAATATCTTGTTCGCCTTGTTTGTTGCTGTGCAAGGGCTCTTTTTGGAGCGGACCTAGCGGCGGGCCTGGCGAACTCCTCCGCGCTTTTCAGCGCCTGCCTCTTTGCATCAACGCCGTGCCGGTCCCGCTTCTAGCGACCATTTTACTAGTGCCATCCGTTGAATATAACGCGGGATTCCCCGAACAAGAAAAGTTTAGCAAGTGCACGAACCGCACTGCTTTTACTGTTTTCGAACTTTCTTGCACTGCAAAACTACTACTTATCAAGCAGTATATCGTATTGGGCCTGCTTTATATGCCAATTTTTCCACAAGCAGTTTCATTATCCTTTTGCCATAATTTTATTTACCGCAATTAGTTTTATTGCCTTGTTTACAATAAGTGAACTGAACACCTGCACTTTCCTAAAAATATATAAAAACCTTGGAACACAAGTAAAACACGTCAGTCACTCTCAACTAAGAACTCTCTCTTGAATGTACGTAGCACATCTTACTAATTATATTGTGTTTAGTGCTGTTAATTCTATTATTATATTAGCCACATTGAATAACTGATTTTTTAACTCTCTAGCGGAAACTGAAGGGACTATACTTATATACTCACCACAAGCTACTTAGCACGGACACGAAACCATTAAGCGTTAGTTCTGACTGTAACGCTGCTTGACCATTCAATGGCTAATAGAATACATTTTGCACTGCTTGGATCTGACTTACGACTTCATGCGACATAATTTTCATTAGATCAAATTGTATTGCTTGGTTACTTTGCTTGCAGACGCCGCTACACACAAAAGCGAAGCTTTTGCACCGTGGCGAAGATACACATTTCTTTCTCGTTAGCTTGTATCAAAGGTAGACAGCGATTACAGTAATTCGTGAGCCACTTTTTAGTCTTGCATTGCACACTGGCACAAAACTGCTTATTATTGTAGCTTAAGTTCCACATTTGTATTTCCCCTGAAGCGGGTTTTATAATATAACATTGCCTGCAGAAAAACCTTGGGAGCTCCTTAAGCAGTTTACTTTAATGCACTTTTTCTGTTTAGGGAATAAGGGCAAAACTAGATGTAAGTAAACATGAATATATAATATGTACATACTTAGCTAGATTCATCATTTGTATGTATTGATTATATAAATTTATGTCTGCTCATATGAACTGGTGCATGTAAGCCCGTATATATACATACACATATATATGTATATGTAAACTAAAGTATTTGCAAGCAGTTGCATTTGCATTGATGCACTCCGCGCGAAGCAGTTTTCAGTTCATTTTGTACGGCACCTAACTTTTCAGTTATTTACTATATATAATACATATATATGCATGCAGTGCATGTGCAACAAATACGTGAGTATTTTTTACATGTGTGCGTATGTGATCAGTATTGTCGCGTCTGTTTATCTTACATGCATACACTGCCGCTCACTTGAATAGCGCCTCTAAATCTTGCAAACCAAAAGCAAGATTTCTCAATAAAAAAAAATAGCTTTCAAGTTTCTGACTAATCTAAGTAAGTATCATAAAAAATAAGAAATTTCTATCCGATTTAATTATAATTAATAATGAGTAAAGCTCCCACGAGTCAGTATAAGTTCATATATCCCGTTTGGTAGGGAATCATACAAGCGCTTGATATAATCAAGCGATATTCTTGACCAGGCCTGTGTTATCGCCTCAATGAGCTCCGATTTTGTAGAATATTGTTTCTCGGATTCATATACCTTTCTTGCAACTCATCCCCACCTATTTTCTATTTCTATTTATGTCAGGGGAGTACGGAGGACAGCTCATTGAAGTGATATTCTCACGATCCAGTCAAGCTTTGACAACTCTCGCGGTGGTGATTGGGGCTTTGTCATGTTGAAATTTTACTGCAAGGTTTCAAACAACTGTTTCGCCTCAGGAAAAGCCTTTTCCAAAACGTTTTCAATGAATCTGCGTTCACTACTATGTAATCTATATCATGTTTGTATGTAATCGGTCAAGTTTATACTCTTCCTTCCATAAATCGTGAATGTAGTAGGCTATTCCGGAGAATATCGGCTTTCTACAACTTTAGTCGGATTTATAATTAAAATTATTACATTTTAAGTACGAAAACACTTGCTTCAAATGTCGGAACCGAAACATATAAGCGAAAAAAATTTAAATTCAAATCCGAAAGGAAAACAAAATATTGTTATTAATTTTCCTCCAACTACAATAGAACTGTAATGTAAATTTAAAAACTCAGTTTTCGATAATTCTTTCTTTATAAGATTTGACTCAATTGAACCAATAAATGCCGAGTTTGCGGAAGATACCCAAAAAAATGTTTCATATATAAATATATTTACTTTAAAGGGGTGGGTATGGCTTCTTCTATTCGTCACACAATTCCTGTTGAAAGTATATTGTCCTTTAAAAGGGTGTCTAACATTGGAAAATTAAAGTCAGAATAGCAAAAATAGCTTAACATGCATATGTATTTATCCAGTATGCATACAAGTGAGCTCTAGTCGGGAGTGCCCGACTAAGAGATTCAGAAATGAATACACAAATACACACGCTGCAAGTTGAGGACTTTTAGCCCCACACTATAGGAAATGCGCTAATGATTAGATTCAGTTTGTATTTTGTATTGATTTTTATTCCAGGAGGGAGGGGGGGAAAGGCTCCTATATGTATGAAGATGGTCGGATATACATGGCTAGATCGACTCGACTTTTGATGCTGAGCAAGAATATATACACACTCTATGGGGTTGAATACACTTCCCTCTCCCTGTTACATAGGTTTGCACAACATGTTTTAAATCCATTTAAATTTAATTATTTGCAACTTTTAGTCAATTTCTTAAAGCTTACTATAGATAGGGTCCCTTGCTTATAGGAATATCTACATATCTTCTACTACATTTTCCTAAATTATTTTCCCCCCTTCATTTTGTCTGTGTATCGTTTTATTAGCTTTTAGGAACCACTTTTTCTGAGTGTATCGTGTACTTATGTATACAAAACTTACAAATGTGTAGTTTTATCTGGGGTGCTATGGGAAAAAATGCTGAACATGCTGCTTGACCTTCAATATCCACAGAAAGTGATAAGCACATTTTTGCACAAATCGTATAAGTTCTTTCTTATACCCTGTACTTTGAATTACCAGTGGGTACACTGTGTAAATGTATGAAACAGACAAATGCAGACGTCTCCCGCCCAAATAGAATACATTATTATATGTATAATACGCATATATACTCAAATTCTGTATCAACAGTCAAGTCAGCTTTTTGTATAACTGTATGAACGCGACCAAATTTCTTTAAAATAATCGATAGCCCAACCGCTTCTACAAAATCGATAAGAATCGATTTCGGTGTATTCATTCGTGTGTTTGTGCGAACCCCTGTTGCGGTTGTTCGGGTCTGAGTACTGGACATCTCCTAAGCGAATACTGTCGACTAGAACACATAGTTTTATTTTTGCTTTGACTGATAAGCTGAAAGTTTCCCACAGTAGCGAAACAAAATAATCCAATGAAAATATAATTGTGTATGTAAATATCCCAAC